GCATTGGAGATGAACCGCCTGAGGTAATTCACTTTCCCCAACAGACTTTGAATCTCTTTAACCATCTGAGGTGGTCGGCTGATAAGAATTGCCTTGGCTTTGTTAGCATCGATCTCGATACCCCTTTCATGAACCAAGAACCCCAAAAAACTCCCAGCTGTTATACCAAAAGCACACTTAGCTGGGTTCATTTTCAATTTATATTTCTTCATTCGACTGAAAACATCCTTAAGATCCTTCAAATGTTCCTCAAAACTAGAAGACTTGACAATAACATCATCAATGTAAACTTCCATAGACTTACCAATGAGGTCATGAAAAATTGCATTCGTTGCCCTCTGATAAGTCGCCCCAGCATTCCTCAAGCCAAAAGGCATAACCGTCCACTCGTAAATGCCTAATGCTCCTGGACACCTAAATGTTGTCTTATGAATATCTTCCTCTGCCAGAAAGATTTGGTTATATCCTGCATAACCATCCATCAAACTAAGAATTATGTGCCCTACTGCTGAGTCAACTAGCATGTCGGCCATAGGCATCACATACTCGTCTTTAGGGGTGACCATGTTAAGATCTCTGAAATCAATGCATATACTGATATTACCATTTTTCTTAACCACTGGTACAATATTGGCCAACCAGTCTGCATAACGGCAAGGTCGGATGAAACCCACTTTAAGAAGCTTCTGAATCTCTTCTTTAATTTAAGGCATCAAGTCAGGACTCATACGTCTTGGGAATTGCTTATAGGGCTTGAAATCCTTCTTAATGGGCAGTCGATGTTCTATCAAACTTCGCTCTAGACCAGGCATTTCTGAATAATCCCAAGCTAAACATTCAATATTGTTTCTTATAATTTCGAGCATCAATATTTGTTGCTCTTTAGACAAATAACCACTCATTCTGATTATTTTTGGAACCAGATCGGTTCCTAAATTAAACTCCAGTAAAGGATCTTGCGCTGAGAAAGTTGGCTCTGTTTTATCTAACAAATCGGGCCAATGAAATTGTTCATCTTCTTGGAAATGAACATCACATTTTTCTATTTTTTCTACTTTTTTAAAAAGCTGATCTAAATAATACTTATTAATAAGCAAACTACAATCTTGCAATTCTACTTCTTCCATAGGAAAAGTATTATATAAAGTAGGTTTGGCTTACTAAAGAGCCATATAGTACAACTGTTCTTTAAAAGAACATTGAATTCTGGCCAATGAACTTAAAACCCTTCTTTGGGTAGTCATTAGCCATAAAAAACTGATACACTGAAGGTACATGATCAGAATAGAAAACAAATTCTTCAACTTGTTCTGATGCTCCAAAAGGATTGTCATTTGCCTCCATTTTAAAAATCTGATTGCCTTCCCAGAACATCAATTGCTGATGCAGTGTTGATGGCACACATTTAGATGCATGTATCCAATCTTGTCCAAGCAGGATTGAATATGTGGTGTCTGCATCCACCACGAAGAAGACAGAAGAAATCTTCTTTGGAACGACTTCAATGGAAGCGACCAACATGCCTTTTGGTCTGGTCGGTTGCCCTGTAAAGCTAGTCATCTCAAAATCCACAAGAGATAGATCATGAATCCCCTTCCCCAATTTTTTGAGAGTCTTTAATGGCATTACGTTGAAAACGGCCCCATTATCAATGAAAACCTTTGTAATTGGTTTCCCACTTACAGTATGACCTCCCTTTGATTTCTTCCTTGGTAGCCAACCTCTGCCCCTTTGGGATTCGGATTTGACCATCAGTTAAAAGAATGTCGAATATCTCATCGGCCTTTGAACTGTCAAAGGTCGGTTGCCCTTTAGCTTCTGCTCCTGGTGCTGGCTTTAATTTAGAGCAAACATAAGGTTTCCCTGAAATTATTTCGGCCGCCATCTCTTCTGTTTGATCATAATCAAAATCGTATACCTCTGTTTCCATGCTAGCCATATGTTGGCCTTTATTACGCCTGAAATTCTGATCTCTTTCTCTGAAAAGAGATTCTAAACGTCCAGCCTTGGATGCGAGGCTTGCCAAATCTTCGACATCATGTGCAGTAAGCGCATCTTTTAGACGTCCATGCATATTTCGGACCACTAAGTTGGTCATCTCCTTCTCATTGATTATAGTAGGACATCGTCCTTTCATTAATCGCACCCTCTCAATAAATTGTGAAGCTGATTCCTCTGGATATTGTTTCATTTCCAGTAAATCAGTCAGAGAAACCGTTGGCAAGGGATTGAAGAATCTAGCATGAAATGTCATCTCTAATCCTTCCCAAGTTTGTATCTGCCCAGGTGGCAGACTTACAAACCATGAAAAAGCAGTCCTAGTTAGGGACAATCCAAACAGTTGTAACTTGTAAAAAGGATTGTTACCAATTTCCCTCAATTGCGCTGTGAAACGCCCCACATGCTCTATAGTAGAGGATCCATCTTCTCCAGAAAAAGTATGAAAATCTAGTGGCCTGTAATTCCTTGGGAGAGGATATTCATTGATAATCCTTTCTGGGAACGGTCTCTGATAAGCAGGTCGGTTGGCCATCTGAGGATTTAGACCAAACTGAACCCTCAATACGTGAGCAATTTCATCACCCAAACGAAACTGTTGATGATCAGGGATATCAATGGGATTTTGCACGGGAATAAGAATGGGATCCTGTACGTGTCCCCCTGGCCTTTCCTCTCTTGTAATGTTCGGTTGCACATTTTCAACCCTTGGTCCCAAAGGAATATTATTTGGGAAAGTTAGAGGAGTCTTTCCCCTATCTGTTCGGTTGAAGTTTGTGGCGCTTAGAAGTGTGTCGTCCACATATAATGGCCCTGCAAAATTCGCTTGCATCCTTGATGGTGACACCCCTGGTGGCGTCTGAGTGGGTTGAAGAGTAACCCTTGACAATGCTTGATCTAACATGTTCTGCATAAGATTTTGTTGCTCGCGCAACATGTTTTGTATAAACACATTTTGCTGATTGTTCATTTGTTGAACATATGACAACCAGTCGGTAGGCGGTTGGGGAATTTCCCCTGGATTTGGCATGACTGGTGGTGAAACATTTTCTCCCACTGGTGCTGATGATGATTGAGGTTGTGTGCCTGCCATATTGATTTTTCTGATGATTCGGCCGGACCTCAGTCGTATGAAATTCTCTGGCAATGTAGGATCAGCAATCTTGCCTTTCTCCCACTGTGGTCGCCAATTTGTTGATGTATTTTTTCAACAAAAATAAAATAAAATTCAAAGATATGGAAAATATCTTTAAACTTGATTATTTAGCGCCTGAGATTAGGAATCTCTAAACATTGTACGGTACATAAGAAAATTAACTGGAAAATAAAATGCTGGAAATTTTAAAGTGGTGATCCCCAAATCTGACTTTGCTTTTTTTAAGTTGGATGAAGATATCTTCTCAAGAAAAATCCAAATCCTTAAATACTTTTTGAGAAATTGTACTGGAAACCGTCGCCTAAATGGTTACAACGTCTCTTTTTCAACCGTCTACCAACCCCTCTCCTACTGACACGTGTCCTTAGCATACTAACATTATCACTCTATTCCACTCTTAACAGGATCCGCCTCTTTGGACCGACCGCAGACCTTCCACCCTTTTGGTCCGAACACTACTCTTCCACCTTATTGGCCCGACTACCAATCTTCCCGACTTGCGGGCCACCCGACTTGTTGATCCAGTCGCAAACCTCCCGACCTAAAAACCATCCGACTTACTAGTCTGGTCGCAGACCTCCCGACCTAAAGACCATCCGACTTACTGGTCTGGTCAAAGACCTCCCGACCTGAAGACCTTCTGACCTGCGGACTTTCCGTCCTGAGGACTTCCCGACTTGAGGACCTTCCGACCTGAAGACTTCCCATCCTGAGGACTTCCCGACCTACAGACTTCCCAACCTGAGGACTTTCCGACCTGCAGACTTTCCGTCTTGAGGACTTCCTGACCTACAGACTTCCCGACCTGAGGACTTTCCGACCTGAAGACTTCCCGTCCTGAGGACTTCCCGACCTGAGGACCTCCCGACCTGAAGACTTCCCGACCTGAAGACTTTCCGTCCTGCATTCTCCTTAGAAATTAACATATTTTCCTTGAGTTTCCTACGGTGCCCTTCAGCCAGTTCGATCAACTCTATTACCAAGTCTATTTTTCTTTTACCTTGGGCTTTTAACCTAATTCTAAATTTCATACGTAACACTCACAAAAAGAAAAAAAAAAAAAAAGATTTACTATATGTCAAGTTTAACATATTGTTGAAAATAAAATAAAAAGACTAGTTGAATAATACATACTCCTATCATTCGTCTCTAAAGATTATATTAGCATATTTGTATTATTTTTTGTATAAATTTCGTTACATTAATATTAAAAGATTCTAATAAAAATATTTTTGCTCTTTTCTCTTCATTTGTACTTACGTTTTCATATAATAATTAATATTCATAAATCAATGTGTAAGAAATAAATATAATCTTTAGAATCGTAGGAAGATAATATTTTATTAGTAAAGTCATAATTCCATAATAAAAAAATATATATATATATATATATATTAGAAAATTATCATTCACACACTATTACGACATTTTTTATGTAACAATATTTAGAATTTTCTTTGTTTATATATTAAGTAGTTTTTATTTTCCTTTTCTAAGATAGTAAAATAAAAATTTTTAAAGTTGAAATGGGCATGTCTTTAGAAGATGATTTTATTTTATCTTTTTATTTTGATTTTTTATAATAATTTTTGTGATATTTGTACTAAAAATACAATAATTGTATAGTAAAATAAAAAAACAAACAAACAAAGACGTCCATAAAGACAGATTGAAGATTTCCTTCAATAAACCCTTGAACACAACCGAAGGAACAATTTGCCCTCAGTCAATCAACTAAATATTAAAATTATTTTACTTTTTTATTTTCACATTACTTTTACTTTAATTATAAAAAAAAAACACAAAATAGACATTGCACTATTTTATTAAATTAAGGACGGGGGAGTATAATAGTAGTATATCATAACATTGCTGCAAAATATATCCTCCAAACTCAGATGAATTCAAATATTGGCCAGCCCTACATCAAAGTTTTTCAGTCTTAATCCTCAGAATGATGATCAAGGGAAGCCGGGATGGGCTCCGATTCGAATATTTCACCCTAAAATGCATAGTACAAAGCTAACAAAAACAACGGCAAAAAGAAGAAAGAAAATTCGATACCCCAAAGGATAGATCAAAGCACATTAATTTATAATAGATTCGCCCTCTTCAAAAACCTGATTGTTCGGCAGTAGAGTGGCCATATCCCTTCGATGAAATCCAGGTAGTATTCGATCATCCATTCTTGCACATCCTTAAATTTTCTCCGGGCAGCTTCTTTGTAGTCCTTATTTTTTATATCAACCAGAGGCTGGACTAACCGTGCGCGCATAGTTTCTTTTAGACCGCCTTTAAAGATGTAGGCGTATGCCAGTAAGCAGTAGGAAGGCATATTAATTGCAATTTTCACTGTCTGCGTGAAGCTGAATACATATAGTCTGCATATTGCTCGGAAGATCTTGATGTAAAGGGCTACGATTAATGGCCCGAGAATCCATAAGGGGGCTAATTCTTTTAACACCTCTGATCCGTAAGCTATATTGACATAGAAGAACATGGGAGTTCTGCAAAAAACCAAGGAAGTGATCAACGATAAGCAAGAATCGAGCAGAAACACATGGAGAGTGAAAGTAAAGAGCAAATAACGCGTCTTGAGATACTGCAGGCCTACAAGAATCGAGATGCGTGGAAAGTGGAACTATCGTGTGGAGCAAACAACAATCGAAGTAAGAATGGATTTCTGAGAAAATTTTCAGCATATCTTTATTGGGAGAAATGCAATTGATGCTTTTTCTCAAGAAATGCAGGTCAGGATAGTATAGGGTTGTGTACTTTTGTGATTTTTTTCAAAAATTTTCACTGTTCAATTAGCTTACCCCCAAAAAAGCATCAAATCAAATACCTATAAAATATCACATCAAACAAATCTTCGAATTCAAAGTTTCAACATTCAAAAATCCAAACCCTTAAGCAAACACACCTTAAGAAACTTCTAATAACAATTGAATCGTAGTGGCATGAAATAGAGGATAAAATTTACAACTAGATTTGAACAATCTTTTGGATTTCTAAAGTCATTCCAAATCCGAAAAGGAGCGTTCATGCTAGTAGAAATGCAATGCTTTACACTAGAAACTACCACCGTACCCACAATTCTAAAGGAAAATATAGTGCGGGGAGGGGCCAAAAACGGAGTGTAACAGTAATACTTACAAAATAAGCACCGGTATTTTTATAGTTGCATCCAAGTTCATCAAGTAAGCTGCAGCAGCCTTTACCAACTGAATTGTTTCTTGTTTTGCAACAGTGTTGGGCGTTTCCGATGATTCAGTGGAGGATGGTTCTGCCGCAGCTCTTTCCACAGGTTCAGTTTGTGGTTGTGTGCGCAACAACATTAGCCAGTTTTTAAACAGCTTCTGTATAGCTACAGACCGGCTTGCTGTCTCGGCCGCTGATGTGCAAGGATCAGGGACAACATCATGTACCTTAGAAGATTTCAAAGAGGATTCTTCGCTTTCATCTTGCAGAAATGAGACTTTAGCACTATTTTTTATGGACTTTGAACCATTTGTTCTGCTGCTAGAATCATCATACCGATTCCCACCCTTGAAAGCATATATTTTAAATATCTTTTGCTTTGGTCTGTGAATGACAGCTGCTCCTACACTGAAAATGAGATGCGCAATTAGTTTCATACTAAATCAGCATCTAAACTACAAAGCAACAAAGCAGCAAACTTTTTCAAATTTAATAGATAATTTCACGGCATTGGAAGGGAACAACTATTATGAATAATTCATATACAATGCAAGAGCAATCATAACATCGATGCCGCCCTTCACTCATTGATTAAAACGGAAATTGAAATTGGGTTGCTAAACTGCATGAATTAACACCATAATCAAAATAATTTAAAGATTAGTTTCTAACAAAATAAACTCTTTGCATAAGCACTATAAACACAATCCATATGATTATATGATAACTACTATTGGTGTGTTCTTTTATCAAATTTGCCCGGATTTCTACAATTCACAAAAAAATTTTCCCTAAAATCATCAAATCAAAAATCTATTTTTCGTTTTCTATATTATACTAAAAATCAATTTTACATTCAAAACATCACATCAACACCTATTTATATCACGTCATACAACTACTTCGATTCAAAATATTTACTATTCAAATCCCAAAACAAAATCTAAATCCCCAAACAACACACCCTATGAGTAATTCATGCACCCATTAGCTCTCTTGAGAAAGCTAAACTTCAGAGAGGACCATATAGACCAGACTCCACATAAACGTACGCTTCATGATGGACATAGTTGCTGGTCAAAACACAAATAAGCCAGAAATCTTGATGCAAGTAAGAATGATCTTACTGCATGCTAATTATAGGATCTACCCCTTCTTGTGATGTCCCTTCAACATTTGATACCTTCAAATTTATACTTATCTTCAATTTTGTAGTTAAATTTTGATAAAACAACAATATCCACATGAAATATTCATCCATATTGTAGTTTCAATGAAAAATTTGAGAAGGACGAGAGAATTTCCTATTGGTAGTGATAGTTTTGATACACGTTTATACTGAGATTATATCTTATATAAAATTGAAAAAGAATCTACCATCGGAACTACAACAAGAGTGAACATTCCATCCCCACAAACGATTTGAGCAAACAACCCATCCTCCTTAAGTGGTCTTCCTTACAGTTATTCTATTTATAAAACTACAATTCCATGGAAAGTGAATGCTGGTCACATAGAACTTAATGGCGATAACGATTAGCATGATCTTAGATTTATACATGTATAAACTCTCACCTTGATCGTGATCTGCATTTCAAAGATATTAACCTATCTTTTCTCCCAACTGGATGGAATGTAGGCAAAATATGATTTACCTTGCTCCCTCTACTCCACGATGAAGATACGGAAGGGAATGTGCTACAAGCACCCTGAATAGAATTGACGGTAAAACACCTTCCACACTTAATATGGGAAAAACAGCACTCAGAAACTGTTTCTTTATGAAAACACATTGGATAATACAGTTGTAAATAAAAATCAAATTTTATTTAAGTTTAATGCCATAGATGGATAAACTTTAGTCTGACAATAACTATAAGGTCATCCAAATGGATTAGTTGCATAACATGAATAACAAAATCACCTCTTAATACCAAAGTATAAAGTTAATGTATCACCAACATAAACATTGAAATGTCGTTTTATAAATTCACAGCAATAGAAGCAAAACAAAAAATGCTATTTACTCCCATGAAACAAATTGTAAGATGGAGTGTTAAGCCTATCAAGAGAAAGCGCAATGCATAGCCTAGTAAAATAACAATCATAACGACATTGTTTTCACACAATTACAGGCTGCAATTTTCTTACCAAATTGTATGAATGAACAAAAAACTTCATGATCCAGCTTCTAACAAAATAACCAATTTCACACTATAATGCATAATCCATTCGTTTGTCTGGACGACCAGACTTCCAACTAACCTTTGTCGCTTTACAAATACACAACTAAACCCGATTCCTAGTAAGAAATTCATCACAAATCATGCTGAAACGTAAATTACTCCATCACTCAATGCTCTTATCTTGGACCAAAACAATATAACACCAATAACTGCACAAATCATCACATACACGAGCACAAATTATCACCTGCAGATGCTGAGTTATCATTGCCATAATTTAAACAATGTGCACACGAGCATCTGTGGCAGAGATCATATTACACCCAAGAACTTCAACCCTGCACAAATATAAAGTTATCTTGTTTCAATTATCCAATCAATACATTTCAAGACGAATGCAAAGGCTGCCATATTTATTCCTTTCTCTACAAGAAATTTTCAAGACCAAAAAAACCAAAATTATACATAAAGAAACAAACAGTAATTTCTACTCCTCCCTCGAATATTTGAAAAACAAATCGACTCCAAAGCCAATTCGAAAAGTAATGTTTCCATAGTTCCGTAAACTACATAAAACCCAAAGATAATCATAATATTTTCAATTCTTTTTCAGAATTAATAATAGCTTTCTTGAAAAGACCTGCGCCTATCACATAATTCACCAGAATGAAATCGAAACGATAATCATGCACAAAAAACGACTCCACAGCGTATTTTAAAACATATATTTATACATACAGAGGGCGGCGCACAATGATTTCGAAGGCGGCGAGCAGAAGGTGAAACCCCTCAGCGTGTTAATCTGCGTCGAAAGGGGGCTTTCTTCGCCCACATGAAATACGATGCTTGTTGCAGAAACTTTGCAGAGATTTCAGAAAAGTTGGGAGAGATTTCGGATAGAGGTGAGAGAAATCAATTTGGGAAGGAATGAGAAATAGGGATGAAAACGGATCGGGTTGTACCGAAACTGAATCTGGACCCGATCCATTAGAGGTACTAAAACCCTCGCCCGCCCAAAACCTTTCGGGTCGGGTAGACCCGGATACCCAGCCAAAAACTAAAAATTAAAAAGTCACAGCACAGTAAACACAAAAATAAACAAGCATTAATTTATACTCTCTCCGTCCCAAATGTATAATTGTATTTGGCACGAAATTTAAGAATAGATAGTTAGTAAAAAGTAAGAATAAATATTTTTTTTTGCCTTGGTAAGTATATTAGTATAAAAAGTAGTGACAATTGTTTAATAATAATAAAAAAGTAGGGATAATTTTACGGTGATATGGTTATTTATGAAAATGAGACTATTATTTTAGAACGGACAAAAATAATAAATAAGACTATTGTGTATTGAGACCGAGGGAATAATTAATATAGATAGTAAATGTGTTAATAATTTTATAGTTAATATAAAATCTATATATAAAAAAATTATATTTAAACAATAAATTTACAATTAATATTAAATTTAATTTGTTAAAAAATATATTAAATCAAATAAATTTATATAAATTTAATTATACAAGAAAGAACTATAATATAAATTATATGAATTTTAAATTTATTTAAATTTTATTTTATATAAATATATTTATAATAATTAATAAATTCTATAAAAATTGTGTCAATAATATATGCTTAGGTAATTTTTGTCCCGTTGGACTTGTTCAAACCCTCGACGCTTCAAGTAAGCTACCATACATGATTCATTTAGTGTGATGTATCTGTAGGACTTAGCTTAGGTTCGACTGCATATTCCCACGTCATAAAATAAATAAATATATATATATATATATAAAATAATATGTTGCACCCAAAAAAACCCTTTCTTCATCAAGCAAGCAGTATTTCTTCTTCCTCCAACCAGTTATTTTTCTCCTCCCATCACCAATTTTGTTTGGAACCATGACTATACATTCGGTTATCGGAGAACTACTAGGAATAATTCATAAACTCATTGGCTCTTTTTAGAAAGCAAAAGCTCCATAAACACATGATTCACGACCGATCGGAGTTGCAACCGAAAACGTACAAATTATATGAATATGGACAACCACACTTCAAACTAACCTCAGTCCACAATCTCGATGCCATTGTTTCTCCCCAAGATCAAATCTGCACAATTTTAACCCATACAGTTTACTCCATATTATCCAAAACTTATTTATGTTTGCTAAAATTATTATGAAAAAAAAATTAATAAAAACATCATCGATTTTAAAACCAGTAAGATCATAATCGACATAGAAATTAATAAAATGAATCACAAATATACTCCATCCTAATATAACATTGATTATTTACCAACAAGGATACCTTTTGCTTCGATTGTTGCTCAAAATCTATCATCTCAGCGGAAGAAAGCAAAGTGCATCACAAATCGGAGAAAACCTATCCTAAGTCGACCCTCTCAATATTGGGAAAATTGACCTTTGTGGCCCAATATTAAGATATTGGGCTTTATTTATTATATGTAGAGAGCCCAATTTTAAAGTTTCGGCTTATAGATACCAATATAAATATAAATAAAAAAATTTATTTAAATTTATTAGGTACTCTTAAAGGGTGTCGGGTAAACAGTTTTAATTGCTCGACTGTGTTTGGTAAATTTAGGTATAAATTCATATTTATAAATTTAAAATAATTAGTTTTTTATATGTCAATTATTATATTTATAAAAAATTTAAATTTTTTAAAATAAAGATAATATAAAATATTAATATTATTAATTTATTTATATAGTATTTTTTATCACATAATTTTTTTAATTAAAAATAAATATATTTATTTAAAATATATATTAATTAAAAATTAATCTAATAGAAATCCATATAGAAATTATTTTTACTTTTTTATATTTATATCATTTCTAATGAAAAATATATATATATTTCAATACATTTGCATTAATTTTTTACAAAATATTTTAAAAATAATAAAAATAAATATCTTAATAAAATTTTTATAATTTTTAAAATTAATAATAATATTTTAAAAAAGTCTACCCATCGAAAAAAATCAATTAAATATTTTTAAAATAAAATATAAAATATTTTTAATTATCATTTTATATATGGACAACTAATACAAAATCGTTATTTTATCAAACACTTTTACACAAACAACTAACTGAATCCGCTAGTCTAACCGGCTAATCGAATCAGCTAACAGCTAAAAGCTAACCGTTAATTGTCAAACACCCTCTTAATATTATTGGATATAAATTTTGAAATATTACTATTTTATATTATGGCGTGTTGGGGAAAAAGCATTTTTAATAATTTTTAGTTTATTAAATAACTTTTAGCTATTTGATCAGTTAAAAAAGTAATTTACGTATTTGGTAAATTAGTTTTTTTAAAGAGCTATTTAAACTTAAAAAATTAATTTCTAAAAAATTAATTTACCCATCATTCTAGAATAACTTTTTCACTTAAATTTTATTTATTCCTTATTTACACTTAAAACAAATAATTTATTTCATATATATAAATATATTTTTATTAAAGTATTTATTAACTATTTTAAATATATTATTATATTATAATTTTATTTTTTAATTTTAAAATAATTACTATAATTAATTATTACATATAAATTATTTTATTTGTAAATTATATAAATATATTAAAATTAAATCAAATAGAAAAAAAATATTATTAATTAATTTATATATATTTTTATTATATAAATTTTATATCAAAAATTAATAAATAATAATTAACATAATAAAAATATATATATACAAGATTTTATATTTTATATAATTTTAATGAAAAAAATACTTTTTTTAATTAAAATATTTTTCTCAAATTTAAAAAATAAAATTAAATATTTTAGAAAACAATGTATTAATGTCATTAAGTGTTATTTTACGTATAAACAACTAATATCAAATAATTATTTTACCAAACATTTTAAGACAAATAACTAATTGAGCTAGTCAAATCCGCTAATTGAATTAACTAATAGCTAAAAGTTATCTGCTAATTGTCAAACGCACACATATATTTATCATACATGAATAAATATACGATTTTATTTTTCTGCATGTTTTGTAATTTAATTATATTATGTTGATATTGTTATAATAATAAATAAAATATCAGGATATTTTTCTAATATTTGTGGGGAATATAATTATTAAAAAATAAATATATGTGTTGTTTGGTTTTTCGACAATACAAAGTAAAATTCGAAAAATATTATCGAACTTGAATAAAATTTATTTGTAGAACAGGGCAGTAAATATACTGAAAAATAAAGGGTGACCCCAAACAGGAAATTTGCAATTTTTCTTATCTGATTCAAGATCCCCTATCTGAATTTCCTTGAATCATTAAATAATTCATAAGGAAACGTTTCAAAACGTCACCTGGTCAGTTACCGCAACCGCCATCAACCGCCCTACACATTAATCCCCATTTGACACGTGTCTTAACCGTCCCACCAATCGTTTCTGTTAGTTATCAAATTCAACTGCTCTTACGACCACCCACGTACTGTCATGTCTCCTTAAACGGGCGGCTGACCCAACCGACCGCCTAGCCGCCGATCCTTCCGCCCAGAGAAACCCTTGGCCCCTTAAACGGACTGCTGACCAACCGACTGCCTCGAGAAACCCTTAGCCATCTGATGGGCCCAATGACGGGCCCACATCTCCTCTTGTTTTCGGCTATTACCCTAATTATAAATTTTATACTCAACAACTTGCCCCGCCGCCATCTGACTTCCAAACGTCACTCCTCGATCGCCGCATGACAGGATGTTTGGGAGTCTGCAGCCTATGCAACAGTGCCGCCCTGACTCTGCTTCCCATAACATCAATAGGGTTTTAAATACCCCATAAGCATTACCCTTTATTTCCTGTAAAAACCCTTCCATCAACTTCGTTCATTTCACGCATCCATTATCGCGAGCCATTTCCAAAAAAACCTCTCATCTTCTTCGTTGTTGCTACCATCTCCTTTCTGCAACTTTCAATGCATGGCGAACCAATACGTACCCACACTTCCTTCTGATGGACCAACCCGGAGGTATTTTTTGTTGCATCGAAGGTGGTGACTCCAACCATCCGCCCATATTGCACTACTCCTGAGGACTCCAATCCGATGAGGGAGGTACTTGAAGCAGAGAACCCCCTTGCCATCAACAATCCCAACTACAATGTTGTTCGTATCAATGACAGCATCAAGACACATCTGACCGATCCCAAAGACCCCTACCGCACCTGGTACAACAGAGTGGCGGAGCGCTTCCAGGAGCAGTGGAAGCGTGAACACATCGACCAGGCCATACTCCTTTCCACAATTCCATTTCATTTGCACGAGAAGGTGCTCCTGGCGATATCGGCCTTCTGGCACTCAGAGATGCGGGTCTTCTTTTTGCCAACAGGCCCTATTGGCCCGACCCTTATGGATGTGGCCATGGTCGCCCATCTTCCCATCGTGGGTGAGGACCCAGTGATGGGAGTCCTAGATGAGCAGGAGCCAGAAGCGGACCATCTGGGCTGGTCCTTAGCTGGAGTAAAAGAATGGTCTGGACGAAATTCACGACCGACCAGCAACGGGCAGCAGGAACCCCCGTGACCGACCGCGAACATGTTGCCTTCCTCCTCTTCTGGCTATGTAGGTATGTCATAGTCTCCCCATCCAAATGCGTCCTTTCTTCTCATCTCGATCTAGTTATCCATTTAGCTTCAGGTCTTTTCTTTTCCCTTGGCACTCTTTTCCTTGCCAATCTTTTTGAAGGTCTTTCTAGCGTTAGCACCCGCCTTGTAGATAGTGATAGTAAAAAATTATATACCGCCGCGTCGGACCCTTTTTGGCTCCTAGAACTTTGGTTCCGTCTTTACTTTCCCGACGCGTTCAAACTTGGTCGTCCGCCCATCACTTCAACACCCGACCATTCTTTGGGTTTAGCCCTTAACCGACTTTGCCTAGGTCACGGCCACCTCCAATCATCCGACCCCATCATCTCTGCCATCCTAGCCGACGACCGCAACAACTCCCGTTTTTATGTATATAGGAAGTATGCTTGCTATGCGGTCGGTCTCTT